CATCTTTATTCGATTTGAGATTTTTATTCCTTAAAATTTTTGGATATCAATTAATTTAATGAGTCCACCCTGATGGACCATAATCTCACTCTTTTTTTTTTTTCTCAAATTGATATAACATATAAAGATGTGGATATTAGAGATTTGGCATATTGCTTTCTCACATATTTATTGATTCTTGCTTAATCACCATAGTGATTAAAAGTTTATTCGATAGTGATGGTAGTCCTCTAACTGACACTTCTTCTTCCCGCTCTTGCACTTCTTAAGACCAAATTTTTACTCTTAACTGTAAAATATTTGAAATACATCAACTAGCCACAATTATTAAAAAACTTGTATACTTAAGTTGCCCAAGAAAAAAGATAAGAATTTCAGAACTAACATAATAAATAGGTGGAACGACAAAAATTATATTTCATTTTAACTTACTATTATTCCATTCAGAATTCCCAGTCATTCAAAAAATGTCATGCTTTGCTCAATTTCTTCTTAAAATCTAGTCCTAGGGGTGTAAAGGAAGGCCAAACGATTCCAGATGGTGTATAACCTTGTTTGGCTCATATTAGGATTATGTTGTGGTTCGACTCATTTGGAGAGGTAAGTCCTTATATTATGAAGGATATTTGAAACAATTTTGTTTCTTATGAATTGCTTGATCTAACACGGATTATATTGGATTTTGTTTTTATGACCGATTAATTCAGTAGCAACTATCGAAATTTATGGATTGTTCTCTAAATTCAACATGTCGTCTCGACAAATTCTTTTTATGCCTTAAATTTTGAAAGTAAATGACGATTGATAAAGGAATTCTTGATATAATTTTCAATATTTTTACCTTTAATTATTAGTGTACAAGTACAATGTATTACAAAATGTTCCACTACAAAATATCGAACGTACAAAACAAACCTAACACCCATGATTTCACCACAAACATAATAATCATGATCTCCCCCAAATCTAGACCTACATTGGCCCCACCATTAACTACCACTCATTAAACAATCCGAAGATAAGCAATTATTATTTTAAATTTTGAAATATTCCTTCAGAAAATGAATTGAAGAATCCAGATGACAATTTCTTGAAAAGGCCACTGTAATCTGGTCCGTCTCTCTAAAGTGTATAAGGTTCGATGCACACAAGAACATTAATAAGAAAATATATAAAATAATTGTGTTCATTTGATCTTATCCCTCTCACGTCACCGCCTTATATTCATTATCATTTTCCTCCTCTCTCTCTTTCTTATATCTATATATACACGCATAAATCTGCTGATTACTGATTTAAATTATCAAAGATCCAATCTTCTCGTTTACATGTAATTTTCTGAGTTAATTGCATTTGTATTTATTTTGTTGAATGTTTTGGGTTTTTATCGACATGTGTCATCTGGGCAATGCTCTTTTTTGGTTTAATTTATGTGGGTTGGATTCACTTTGGTGTGTTTGTGCTAACTATTCCGTTTTTCTGAATTTTTTGGCAGATTCGAGCTAAAATTGGAAAGCTATTGACATATCTGGTTGGGGTTTATATTTTGAATGATCGGGAATAAGAAATCTGAGGTTTTTATTGAATTTCATTGCTAGAGATGTCGATTTTACCAAAAAGCGATTCAATACAGATCCGGGAGGTTTGGGCCGATAATTTGGATCAAGAGTTTGCTTTGATTAGTGAAATTGTTGATGATTACCCTTACATTGCTATGGATACGGAATTCCCTGGTATTGTGCTTCGACCCGTGGGTAATTTCAATAACTCGAATGATTATCATTTCCAGACATTGAAAGACAATGTGAATATGTTGAATCTGATCCAATTGGGGCTTACCTTTACGGATGATAAGGGGAATTTGCCCACCTGTGGGAGTGATAGGTGTTGTGTATGGCAATTCAATTTCTGCGAATTCAATCCCAACAAGGATGTCTTTGCAAATGATTCGATTGAGTTATTGCGCACGTGTGGTATTGATTTTGCGAAGAATAATGAGAAGGGTATTGATGCTAAGCACTTTGGAGAGCTTCTAATGTCTTCAGGAATTGTTTTGAATAATGATGTCTATTGGGTGACTTTCCATAGCGGTTACGATTTTGGGTACTTGCTGAAGTTGTTAACTCGTAAGAACTTGCCTGATACGCAGGAGGGTTTCTTTAAGTTGATCAATATGTACTTTCCGGTCCTTTATGATATAAAGCATTTGATGAAGTTCTGTAACAGCCTGCACGGTGGGTTGAACAAGCTAGCCGAGTTGTTGGAGGTGGAGCGGGTTGGAATTAGCCATCAGGCGGGTTCAGATAGCTTGCTCACCGCGTGTGCCTTCAAGAAGTTGAAGGAGAACTTCTTTAGCTGTTCACTAGAGAAGTATTCCGGTGTGTTGTATGGTCTAGGTGTTGAAAATTGACAGGATATTTCTTGAGGATAGGTAAAAAAAAATTAAATAAAAAAGCATAAGAAATGTGAATAATTAGGTGTTTATTGAACTAAATTTGTGTGTGCCTAATGATTATGATGCCACACTTCTTTGTACCCTCTTTAAAGTTAAAAAAGCTGTTTATCAATGAATCTTCCTGTATTAGTTTTTCTAATACCCGTTTGTATTTTCCTCCACATTTGAGTAAGTTATGCTGCTTAACAATTCTGTGGATCGTTTCTTTTTGTAATTATTAACAGTTATGGCAATTGCCGGATTGACCTTTGCTGGTAGATATATTAACTCAAGGCAGACTCAGGTTTCATTCTTCTTTGTGTTTAAGTTAGCAGCTGTGGTTCAAAAAATATCTAAAGCTTCCAGTTTACATTTACAGGTTTGTTTCATTTTTCGCCTTTCTTTGTCTTTGATTCTGGTTGGCCTTAGTTTCTTTAATTATATGATCAGGATTCATTTAACAATTTTATGTTATTTCCTGGATGGAACTATGATCAAGGCCTAAGGCCCTGCTTGGGAGTTTTTTTCACTAGTTTTGACGGATTTTGGGTGGCATCGCTTATGAGAGGTTGAAAAATTGGTACTTGTTAGTTTTTTTTGCGTGCCTTTAAACCGTCATAAATTAGTGGTGTAATTTTTGCAGTCTTTCTTAACCTACAAAAATCAGTGGGTTTTGGTCGTTTATCAAATTCTCTTCACAATTTTATCTCCTATAAAATATTATTTCCAACCCACATATAATGTTCAAAACTAAGTTTTAAATAAATATTCATTAACTAAATTTTTTTTTTATAAACGAAATAATTACTTTATATCTGAGAATTACTTATAAGATAAAAATAAACTTGCATAAAAAAATGCTTATAAAGTAAAAATACTACTAGAAAGGATAAAATTCACTTATAAAATTTAAAATGTTACTTATAAGTAAAAAAATATTCGAAAGTTAAAAAAAAAAAAAAAAACTTATAAATTATAATTTTATTTATAAGTAAATATTTCACTTTTTAAGTTAAAAAATAATTAATATGTAAAAAATTATTTATAAGTAAAATATCACTTATGTGAAAAGCATTTCACTATGTAGCATATATTTAATTTTATTCTTTAATTCTAAAATCGCCTGATAATAATAAACTCCCAAGTATAAGTTGGAATGTTTTAAAAACCTATACTAAAAATCTCCCCAAATTGGATTTTTGAGGCCAAAAATTGATAAGTTAAGAAGACAACCGAACTCCCAAGCATGACATCGTAGTCGGGGGAGTCTGCTTCATTCTATAAAAAGCATGTTTGGCTAAGCTTCAAAAAACTAAAAATACTCGGAAGTAGCTTTTTGTTTCTAAACACACACACACACACACACATATATATATTACCTTTCAAGTGAAAAAGTTTACCAATCTTAGTTAATTATAACATAAATAAATATTTTAAGCTTAGCTAAACATGCTCAAAGTAGTGGACACTATAATTTTTCATAATGAGGAAATTCAGCTAATTGAATTTTGGGTATTGACAATGGCCTTGGAGACTGCTATGCTAAACAAACTCTTCTGTATTTTCTGTATACATCTTGACAGATACCATGAACTTGTGTTTAGCCTTCATCACTTTTCTTCAATTGGATCAACTATAAATCCATAACTCTTTTCCCTACTTCAATGCTGTTTGCTAGATATTTTCCGGATTTTGCCTCACAATACTATCCATTTCACAGTCATTCAGTATGTGTTTTACAATGTTGTTTCTTGCATTTGTTGATTCAAGTTATCTACTGTGAAATACAGTTTGGCTTATGCACAATCTGTAAATCCCATTCACTAGACGTGCTGTTCCCTTAATATCACTTACTGATATGTCAGCCATTAATTGCCTCAAATCTTCTCTAGTTTTGCCATACAAACTCTTAGGTCTGCTGCTGTTGGTTTTTCTACTTCATCAACATTTCATTGGTACTCGGGTTTAGGCTGTTTTGTTGAAGGAAAGTCAATTTTTCATTTTTCTTGTTAACAAGGAAGTCCTTCATGCAAACACGTTGTGACAGTTGGGTATAATTTGGTTATTTTATTCCACGTCAAAGCAGGATAGAAATTTGTTGCATTTGTGGAATCTTATTAAATGTTGAGAATGTAATTTGGTTTCGTAGAATGTTAAACCATTATTTTGGATTCTCTCTCAGTAAGCGAATAATGGTAATATCTGTAAAAAGCGTGGACTGTGCAAGGGGAAGTATGCTTGCAGGCTCCTGTCCCCTGAGTCTCCTTCTCTTGTTTTACTTTACTCCCCAAAGTTATAGCTTCTTGCATATCGAGTGGATTTACTGAAAACATTACGGATTTGTCTTTGAGGTTTGGCATGCTTTCTGGTTCATGCATGAATCCTCTTTATTTATTGTTTTACTTGGACAATTATTTTCTTTGTTGTTGTGAAAAGGAGGGTGGGGTGGGGGTGGTGGGTGGTTTGGAGGAGCTGACTGAATGCTAGTCCAGAAGCTCTAACTTGGAGAAGCTGTAGTGATATTATTAGTTATGGAACAGAATCTCTTTTCAGGCTTTTGGTCAAAGTCAATAGTTATGGCAATGTATGTCTGCGATAGACGAGTCTTAATTTCAAAAATATTTGAACAATCCTCCGCATCGAAATACATTTCTTTTACCGCATCCCAGATGTCCTTCGCTATAGGTAAGAAGAGATAGGTTTTTCCTATCATGGGCTTCATGAAATTTACGAGCCAAGCCATATCGATTGAATTTTCTGAGTTCTAATTTTTTTAGAAATGCAGCCTCTATTGGTTTCTCTGTCCCACCGATAAGGTAATCAATCTTCCCGTTGTGTTAATTATGCCGAGAATCTCTAATACTATTTGTTGAGAATTCAAGGATCATGTATTGTTCGATACCACTTGATATGAAACCAACTACTGGATTGAGATGTTGAAGTTATATGACACAATAATGAAGTATTTGATTAAAAATTAAAAAAAGACAAGAAAATATGGTAGAGGAATTAAGAGATTTTATTGCACCAATAAAAATGAAGAATTATACATTTAATACTAAAGTTCTAGTAATTTTTTTCTCACATTTTAAAATTGTATAGATGAACCTAATATTTATAGGGAATATGTAGAGGCCGTCCAAACACTCCTAATAGAGTTGTTGATGAAGTAGGGTGCCAAAAAATCGAGTCCAAAACGAAAAATGAGATAGCGCGAAAAATAGGAACAAGTACTTGCCACCTCCCGGGGCCGGACGTTCTGCCCAAATAATTTTTTTTTTTTTGTTCAAAGTTTTTTTCTCCATCTCAAACTCTTCTTCAAGTTTAATACCAATTTCCAACTCCCCATGAGTTTCCAAATAGAACGTCAACTTGACATAGTACTCAAATAGCATTTCAAACTGAATTCTTTTTTACGTGCCCTTCAATTATAATTCTTCAGTTACGTCAACAAGGAATTCGGGTCACACCCAAATTCTAATTATCTTCACCTTGACACGAAGTCCACTGCAACAACCAAAACTCCAAAATATTCTCCATTTGGAGAAATAATATCCGTCTGCAAGGAATGAACTAACTCTTCAACATAATAAAAACTGATTTCTCCAACCAAACACAAAATATTCTATCTCTTCCAATGAATTCAAGCACTACTCTGCAGAATTATCCCAGATTCCTAAAAAATCATAATGATTTTAAAATTCACCAAACCGAGTTGTAGTACACCCCAAAGTAGAATCAAACTCAAATACTTTTAAAGAAGACCCCTTGCTAGATTATACACCTTCTATCACGTTGAAAGTATGCTCAACAAAATCAGCATCCACATATCTTTTACCATTGAGTCCGTCCCTAGCAATTGAATACAATGACACCGTAGGTGATGGTGGCCAAGCAGCATTATTCATATCTCATGAACTTCACTGAGCAGTACTCTTCAAATCCGACCATTTACGAGCTTCTAAAGGTATTGTACCAAACTGAATGTCCACCACGGTACTGAACCTGTACTGATTGACTCTTTTAGATTTTGCATGACCCTGCAAAATTACAACTGAGATCTTTTCTGTCTATCCAATACAATATGGGCACCCTTACAAACCACCCCCACCCCCATCCCCACCAAAGAACTCATAATCATTTGAATTAAGGATAAACAACGAGATGAGATTCTTCTTCAAATTTCAGAACTTATCGAACCTGACCAATTGTTCTAATTGTCCCATTCAATAGCTTCAATCTGATCGTACCAATTCCAGCAACCCGACAATGTGTGTTATCTCCTATAACCATGACACTTTTGGAAACGATTTCATATGTAATAAACATATCCTTATTAAGACACATATGAAACATACATGCTGAATCACCTATCATCTTTCTGTTTAGACTCAATGTCAGAGATAGCTAAGAGATCTCCATCACTTACAACGTTCTCTGCGATTTCTGCTTCNTTTACGAGCTTCTAAAGGTATTGTATCAAACTGAATGTCCACTACGGTACCGAACCTGTACTGATTGACTCTTTTAGATTCTGCATGACCCTGCAAAATGTACAACTGAGATCTTTTCTGTCTATCCAATACAATATGGGCACCCTTACAAACCACCCCCACCCCCATCCCCACCAAAGAACTCATAATCCTTTGAATTAAGGATAAACAACAAGATGAGATTCTTCTTCAAATTTCAGAACATGTCGAACTTGACCAATTGTTCTAATTGTCCCATCCAATAGCTTCAATCTGATTGTACCAATTCCAGCAACCCGACAATGTGTGTTATCTCTTATAACCACGACACTTTTCGAAACGATTTCATATGTAATAAACATATCCTTATTAGGACACATATGAAAC